TATGTTTGTCGGGAGACCCTGCAGGTATATACATACACATTTACTAATGTTAAAAAGTACTAATTTCAAGTGATTAAAGTGGTAATATGGGTTTTTGTGTTCATTTCAGGGTGTTTACTATCTCCATAACAAAGGCAAGATCCACAGAGATATAAAGGTACAAAGTGGACGTCAAAACACAATTAAATCTCACTTTAAGGAGGCTATTCCTCTCAGTGTTGACATAATTAGCACTCATGTCCCACTTGACTTATGTTATGCAAGAATAATTTTTTTGGAAAATGCTATTCTTGATAACATGGAAATATCAGGGAATTTCATGGAAAGTCATTGAATTGTTAAGTCAGCTTTGTTTTATGAATTGGATGAACTGGTTCACAAATTGGTCTAAATGATTCATTATTGAATTAGTCTGAATTAAATAGTTATCCAGCCATGACAAATGACCAGGATTGTTTTAAAGGGATTGTTATATTTCGCAATTGCTCACTGTGGCTCTGCTCTTGTTTTATAGGGCGCAAATATACTGTTGACAGACAATGGCTACGTTAAGCTAGGTAAGAAAACACTTTCTTTGAACACCTTGGGAGTTGGCATTTAATAAGAATTCCACTCTTTCACATCTGCTGTCTGTCTCTCTCCAGCTGATTTTGGAGTTTCAGCTCAGATATCAGCCACTTTAGCAAAAAGAAAGTCCTTCATTGGAACTCCATATTGGTATGTCAGTCCTCCATTGTCTCTCGTGTGGCAGGACTTGTTTTAATAGTTTAATTGTAGACATTGGACTGTATGAAATGTATTTCTCTATATGTCTTTCTCTGCAGGATGGCACCTGAGGTGGCAGCAGTTGAGAGGAAAGGTGGCTACAATCAGCTGTGTGATATTTGGGCCGTGGGCATCACCGCTATTGAGCTGGCCGAGTTGGAGCCGCCAATGTTCGACTTGCACCCCATGAGGTGTGTGTCCTGTGACTTGTACTCATTTAATGTCACTGTGCTCCATCATGAGCAGTCCATTGCTGCACGTGCCAGATTCTGCTTAATGTATACATTTTGTAGTTAATACATCTTACACAGGACACATTTAGTATGTTGACAGTCTAGATTTCTCCCACTTTTCAACATTTGTTTTATTTTAGTCCATTCTTCTGTGTCTTTCTCAGAGCACTCTTCCTAATGACCAAGAGCAGTTTCCAACCACCTAAGCTGAAAGACAAAGTAAAGTGGTAAGTATTTGTAAATATGTTTAATTTAAACTTTCATTCAAAATTGTGGGGTTGGCTAGTTTTTTATTTTTTTATGTTTTTTATTTTTATTTTTTTGTATGATTTGGTGCTCGGGAAACATTTATTATCAGTGTTGAAAACAGTGGTGCTGCTATTTTGTTTAAGCGATGCTTTTTATTAGGATTATCTGATGACTAGTAAATTCAGCGTTATAAATATGTATATATATAATGTATACTTTTTTTATATTATACTTTTTGAACAGTAGCGTATATTGTTGGCTTTTTATACATAGAGTGAATTTCACCCACAGAAATTATAAAGGTAATTACAGAAGGTCATTCACCTAGAAAAGTATTCCCACTCAAAATAGAAATAGGTTTTTACTATTTCACATAAATGAAGTAAAAATAAGAGAAGCTTCACATTTCTGCTTTTTAAACCTCACTAATTCAGTTGTAAGGTTGTGATTATAACTGCAGATTTATATTATTATTACAATATGTTTGAAAAACTTTTTGTTTTGGCTCATGAAGGACAAATAATTTTCATCACTTTGTGAAAATGGCTTTGACCAAAAATCCCAAGAAGAGACCAACAGCTGACAGATTACTGCAGGTTAGATCCACCCTTCATTAGAGAACATTTATGATTGGCTCAAGTTATCCACCATCATTCAGTAAGTTTTCGTTGCATAACTTCTCTTTTTGCAGCACCCATTCGTTACCCAACCGCTTAGCCGGACTCTTGCCATTGAGCTACTGGACAAAGCCAACAATCCTGACCACAGCACACACAGTGATGCAGAGGAGGATGACATTGACCCAGAGGTGATGTCATATATTTGACTCTACCTTTTAACCAGTGGGAAACCATGTTAGGCTTTAAACTGAAGCACTGATCTCTAATTGGCTGTTTCTTTAGATGTAGATTCTAAGTGAGGGCAGACAGTTGGCTCTGCCTGCTGCCAGGTACAAGTGTGTCCGGTTACCCATGCTGCATTGTGCATATGTGATTGTGTGTGTATGTGAATGCATGTGAGTTTATTGGTTTTAACACACAACAGCAGTGGCTTGCGGTGTTGTCTTGAGGAAAGATTAGGGTCTTGTAACAGATATTCACAAAAGGTATGTATGTAACTAAGCTGTTTTAGCTTTCAAGTTTTTAAACTTTATTTGTGGTCTCTGTGTTGGCAGTCTCCCGTGTCTGTGCCACATCGAATCCGCTCATCTAGCAGGAGCTCACGAGATGGAAAGACTCTCTCTGAGATTAACTGTAAGTCATGTCTCAATTAGCTTTTGACTCCCTGAACTGAAACAAGCTCAAGAATTCTCAGCCTACTTAAAAGCACAGAGAGAAATCTGAAGTCTGTGTGTGACCCTCTTCTAGTTGATAAGGTGAAGTTTGACCCACCTCTGAGAAAAGAAACCGAACCGCATCATGAGATGGTTTGTGACATTATGCCATTAATTTATTGCTATTTAGTGTGTTTGTTTGGATGACTTGTCTGACTGTCTTTTTGATTCATGTAGGATCTACCATTAGAGCCCGAAAGCATTCTGGGAAATAACAAGTGAGTGTTATGCTTCATTTGTGAGTTTATCAAAATAAGGAATGAATGAAGAAATAAGGAAAGTTGATGGATAAATGGGTGATTGGCCATCTGTCTGGATCTATTCCTAGTTTAAAGTAAAAACTGTGGGGGGGGCAGATGGATTGTCAAAAACCATGTCTGAACCTTACAAAAATCAATTAGCTGGTTGTTGGATTACTAGTTGTGACCTATCCCTATTTTAAAATAACAAAACTGAATATAATAAAGGAATGTCTAAAACTATTCAACCTGACTAATTAACTAGTCAGTCTTTGGATTACTAGTCGAATCCATCATGACCCATCTCTAGTTGAACACAACTAAATATAAAAAAATTAAGGAAAGTTTAAAACTAATCGACTTCACTAATCAAGTAGTTTTGTTGTTGGATAAATATTTTGGCGTCACAACCCATCTTTAGTTTATAAAAATATGTTTGTGTGTTTTGCATGTGTAAAACTAGTTCTGTCTTTTATTCATTATTTTTGTAGGAGTCTATTAAAATCTGTTGCTGAGGAGCTCAATCAAAGGTACAGCCCCTCCTACTGTCTCTTTTGATTGGTCAGCCAAACCTCCATGCAATCTAATCACTTCTGCAGTCTCATCTCCTCTGCTTGGCACTGAGAAGCTCTTACTGCTGAGTGTGTGTGTAGGTGTGTCTGTGTGTGGGTGTGTTCTCTCTGCATTCTTCTCTGGCTGCTATACCTTCTTAGCCTCACCCTCTTGATCTCTCTCAGGGGTCATGTGACACATTTAGAGGATGAGGAGGAGGATGAAGGTGATGATTTGCAGTAAGTGAGATGAAGATGTAATGTGAGATGTGTATCATTCAAAAACACCTGTGGTCATCCGTGACTCCCTGTCTGTTAGTGTCAACCAGATGTTAGACTGAAGGATGTGCCCAGTTTGTTTTGTAGTGTGTCTGGTTTTTAGTTGCCTGCTGGTGCATAAATGCATGATCATTATTGAAATGCACATCATTGTTTTTAATTAATGTACCCTCGTTACCTTTATTCAAAAACCTTGACCTCCCCTCAACCTCACAACAACATTATCTTCTCTAATGTGTGCGTTGGCATGAGGTCTGGGTAATGAAGCCTCCTCTACAGCGAACTGTCACTCGTATGAGATTGCAGCCATTAAAAAACAACAATGATCCAATCAATTCCTGATGGACAAAATCAAATCCTAAATTTTCGCTAGTTTGAAAAGCTGTTTCACTTGGATGTACATCACAATAGGGGAGAAAAGATGATCACAATTTCTGTTTTATGCCAACTTTAATACAATTGCATATGCTACTACTTTTCTATAAAATCACACTTATAATGTTTGTCTACCAGACGACATTCCCATAGATTTTCTCATAGCTTAGCTTTGAAGGAGGGACCTGGGTCATATCTAGAGAGAAGAGTATCAAAGAGACTTAGGGCTGGACTTTTTTGATTTGGGACAGTATGCAACCACTTAGAACACCATAGAAACCACATGGCAACAGCCTGACAATTTCTCAGGACAATCTAGCAACCACATAGCATTAGCAACAACCTGGCAACCACCCAGAACACCCTAGCATTGTGCTAATGTTTTTTTCAGGGACAAGTACCACTCACATTTTCTGAAAATATAGTTATAAAAATCAAATGTTTGTGTATGTTGTAGTGATTTGTTCAGACATTTGTTTTGGTTTGTTTAATAACCTGATGATGAGCACAAGATATAGAGCATCCCTTTCATTTCCAGTCAGTCCAAGTCTAACTGAGGACTCTACTTAGAGTTTCCCGGAACTTCAAACACTAAGAAGTTCAAAATATTCCCAAACTTTGCTCTGGATTGGGTAGATTATGTGTATGTGAGCATATTTAGCACGCCGTTTGTGTGTCTTGTGTTCACATGACCATTCTTGCTTACCGTTTTTGGCATTGCATATGAGGTCTCTTTCTTCATCTGATTGTATCCCTGTATGTTTCCACCTTTTAAAGAAAACTGTACTGTTGGTTCTTGCATCCTGCTTTTGTGTTACATCTTAATTAGCAGTATGGCTAGAAATCAATTATTTTGTGTGTCTGCATCTACAGCAGTGACTCCACTTCAACCATGAGGCCTAAAGTACCACCTCCTCTGCCACCCAAGGTAAAAGTTACACACACTTTTCCTATGCAAAATGTGCCTTTTGACATAATGTGTAACTCACATTATGTCTCTTTTTCCCTTTATCACTTCCTAGCCAAAGCTTCCGTCTCCCGGTCAGAACAGTACTGTCTCAGAGGACAATACCGGAGAAGGGACCATTAAACGTTCCCCAGCTTCTGCAAGCTCCTCCCCTCCTGTTCGGACTGCTTCCTGTGTGCCTCCCAGGCCGCCACCTCCTCGCCTGCCTCCACACAGGCGTAGTAGTCTAGGTAACAAACCATCTGAGCATGATCAGACAGAGCCAGCAGGGGATGATGAGATTTATAGGTTCTGGGAATGGCTTCATGCTGAACAACAAGAAGAACAAAGTAAGCTAAGCACCGCCTTCTTGAGCGTGCTCTCCTGTGATTGGTAGACAGCCCTGCCAGTCTTCCTCTATTCCTTGTGCTTTTGAATACTATAATTTTGGCATTAGTTCTTTCGCTTAACATAGACAGCTGTAGCTTTACCGTAGGTTAGTTGAGAGCTTTGTAGATGGGTCTGTGTGATATAGTAGTTAGATTTGTCAAACAACACACCCAAATCATGTAAAAAATTATGCAAATAAGGTAACAATCGTGCCCCAAAATGTAGTGCAGAATACAGTCTTTGTTTTTTCTTTGCCCAGTTATGGAGGATATATATAGGACATGGGAATATATACCTTATTTTTAGCTTAAGAACGAACATGGCCTATATTAATTTGAATGTGCAAGGTTTATGGTTTTATTCACTTCCAGTTATTTTAGCTGTACAAAAGTCTGTTATGCTGCTTGCACTTCTAAAAAACTGCTTAAAACAGCTTAAGCTGGTTGGCTAGACCGGTTTAAGCTGGAAGTAGCTAGTTTTAGATGGCCTCCGAGCCTGATCAAACTGGTCTGTCAGCTTGGCCAAGCTGGTGTTCAGCTGGTTTTACCAGCTAAAAAAGTTATCAAAACTCTAAAACCAGCCTGCTAAACCAGGTATGACCAGGCTGGAAGACCAGCCAACCAGCTTTGAG